TTTAAGGAGGCTAAATAACACAACTTTAAAATGGGCAGAGTCTGAATAGACATTTCTCCAAAGAAAATATATGAATAGCCAGTAAATGTATGAAAGGATTTTCATCATTAGCGAAATGCAACTCTAAACCACAATGAGCTATCAATTCATATGCACTCAGGGTGACTGTAATGAAAAACAGACACTAATGAGTTAGCAAGGGTGTGCAGAAATTGGAGCCCTCTTAAGCTGCTGGTAGAAAAGTAAAAGCGCGCAGCTACATCGGTAAAAGTTTGGCATTTCCTCAAAAGGTTAAACAGAGCTACAAGCAACTCCACTCACAACTCCGTACCCAGAGAAATGAAAACGCACAACTACACCAAAACTTGAACAGTAGCGTCCATAGTAGCATTAATCATAATAGAATCCAATATCCACCAACAGGCGGTGGATACGCAACATGTGGTGTATAAACACAAGGGAAGTGGTGGCGCACACCTGTAATGCCAGCACTCGGCTCACCGTGAGTTCGAGGCCGGCCTGAACTACAAAGCAAGACACGGTCTCGAAAAGGGGGGTGGGGGTATGTAGCTCAGTGGCGCCATGACCGCCTGGCAAGCCCAAGGTCCTGAGTTCCATCCCAGTACCCGAAAGAAAAAAAAGGCAGAGAGGATATTAGCAATAAAAAGGAACAAAATCGGGAGGCTGAGGCTGGAGGATCACCATGAGTTTGAGGCCAGCCTGAACTACATAACAGGACCCTGTCTCAAACAATAAAAAGGAATGAAATACGGATATGTGCTATAACTCGGACTGTAGGAATGAAGTCGGGCACAAAAGGCCACACATACTGTATGATCCCATTTCAGGGAAATGTGCAGAAGAGCCCGGTCCGTACAGACAGAATAAGTTTCCTGGGCATGCAGGGGGCGCGTCCTGACTGCTAGTGGGTGCAGCATTTCTTCTGCCGGGAGTCAAGTGTTCTAAGATTAGTTTGTAGCGATGGTTTGGTAATTCTGTGAGGAAACTAAAAACTAAATTGTACACCTTAAACAGGTAACTTGTATGCTAAGTGGGTTATATCTATTAAAGGTGCAAAAAAGTGAAGCGGAACCCCCAGGACCACGAGGGACCTTCTGCATGGCTGGTGAGGGTGTAAACTCGTACAACCACTAAGACAATCGGCATGGAGACGCTTCAAAAAACTAAAACCAGGGATCCCCCTTGACCCAGCCATTCTCTTTCTGGGCATCTTCCCGAAAGAGTTAGACATCACATTACGGTGATCCTTACACACCCGTATTTATAGCAGCACAACTCACAGCAGCTAAATCTTGGAAGCACAACAGCTAAAGTTTGTCAACAGATGAATGCACAAAGAAAGTGTGATATTTACACATGGAGTTCTCCTCTGCCCTAAAGGAAGATGAGTCTGAGACAATACTGTTAAATGAAATAAATCAGACACACAAGCTTAAATGTCACATGGTGGTTCTTAAGTGAGAAACCCAAAGGATAAATAAGGATAAATAAATCTGCAAAATAAAAGATAATGGGAAACAGGGAGATAGAACTTTTGCAAAAGAGAAGTAGGGGGGACCAGGGGATGGAGGAAAGGGTCAAGGGGAAGAGGTGGGGAAAGGGGGCGCAAAGAGAATTGAGATGTATTAACCTCCCACGGCGAATACAATCATTGTGAGGTGCAAACGCCCTAATAAAAAACACTTGTTTCAGTTTTTATTAAAGTATTTGGATTAACATAAGGGAAACAAAGGGCCTTATGACAACAGGGGAGAACTTGCAAGAGGCTACTCGCTGGTTCTCTCAGCCTGGAATCAGTTAGAAAATGCTCACCAGAAGCTGGCCTGCCTTCGACAAAATGAACTTCAACATGGTCTTATAACTTGAAAGCTGCCGCAGAAGTAACAAGTGGGAAATGCCACTAGACAACTCTTGGTGCCCTTGAATAGAGTTTCCCTACGGGGATAGTGTCAGATTAAGCAGGCCTGAATGCACTTTATTCTAAAGGCATTAAAAAAAAATTTTTTTTAAACTTTTGAGACAAGGCCTCAGGTTGTAGTTCAAGGCTGACCTTGACTTGCAATAATGCTCCTGCCTCAGCTAGAATAACAGATAACTGCTATAGTTCAAGACACCTTGGGGAAGAAAAAAAGCGTGATCAAGTCCCTGCAATAAGGAAAGTCTTGAACAGATCTAAATTTTTGGAAAGACTGAAAACAGGCTGATGATTAACAAAGATTCCACTTCTCACTCTTAATACCCAGTGTGTTTCCTGGAAGGAAACACGGCACCAAATAGAAGAATGACAAATTTAGTGTTAACCTAAGATAAACGAAAACATACTTACTTTAAAAAGTGAAGTTTTCAAATTTACTCTAGTGACTCTTATACAATATAACTTAATTCTTTAAAAACCAAGTTATATAAATGTAGTGGCATATAAACATTACATAGTGTTACCTAAGCATTATTTACAAGGGTTTCCTGAGCTACAATTACTTCTGACTCCACTGTTAATCATTCATGCTTTAGCTCATGTATATTTTACTTTAATTTCAAAACAAAGGAAAATAAAAGTTGTTAAATGCAGTAATCTTCAAGGATAGATTATTATTGATAATGTTATTAACTTCTCATTCATTATAGTTGCTATCATACCCTGGACACAGTTTATGCCTGCAAGAGAGGCCAAGAACCATTGATTCACTGGAGATAAGAGGAGGGGGTATGAGGAGTGAAGAGGGGGGCCGGGGATGTAGCTCAGTGGTTCCACCACCTGCAGCGCAAGCACAAGGACCCAAGTTCGATTCCCGTACCAAAAAAAAAAAAAACCAAAAAACAAGTGGAGGGAAGAGGAAGAGTAGGAGAGAAGGAAAAAGACAGTGATAAAGGGTTAAAGGAATATGACCTTAAAGAGGACAACCCGGGCTGAGTTATATACGAGTGGATCGTAAGTACAACTGGACAAACGAGAACAGAAAATGGAACTGTGGTTTCCCACCGGAAGGTGTGAAAACATTGGGAAATACGTTGTCTGTCTTCTCTTAGCCACACACTGCCACCATTGTCACGTAGCTTCCGCCTCACAGAGGTGTGAGGGAAGCCCTAAATCGATTACACACCCCTGCTTTGACCTAGAAACTCTTGTTTTTCTCATACTGGTGATTCAGTCCAGGGGTGCTCTACCACCAAGCTACATCCTCACCTCTTCTTAATTTTTATTTTGAGACTAGGGTCTCCTCAAGTTGTCCACACTGGACTTGAACTTGTGATCTTCCTGCCTCAGCCTCCCAAGTATAGGATTACAGATGTGTGCCACCACACCAAACTTGGTCTAGAAAGTCTTACAGAAATTGAAAAAGGGTTAATCTTGGAAATCGACTTCCCCCAATGAATTTGTAAGAAAATAAGATGCAAACACAACCACACAAATGTAAACTGACTTTTATAAAATTTATAAATTAAATAAAAATGTCCCTAAAGAAACTTCCTTTATTATACCATCAAAAGTTATGTTCCAGTTGATGTGTTTTCCTGTTTGCTACCGTACTGTTTTAATTAAAGCTTAAGTACAACTTTCTGCTGCTGACTTTACTTTTTCCTGTGAATGTCCCACAATTCAAGTCAATTCTGCATGGTGCTTTCAAAAAGTTACACGTTTTCCTAATAGAAAGCATGCTGGGAAACATTTTTTTTCTTTCTTTGAAGTTATAAAATTATTAAACAACCCATCCTAATTCACCTTCACATTTTGCGAATCATTTTAGTAGTAATATTTTTCATAAGATTTGCCTTTTTAAAATATGCATAATTGTAAAGTGTTTAACTTAGTGGGTCTTACGGAACATTTTAAGAAATACTAAAACACACAATGGAGAGATCAGGTAGCCATTGGGTTAGAAGAGGTAAATTCTATTGTTTCAGAAATACTCTCCAACTGGTTTATGTTATACCTTGGAAAAGCACCTTAATTCATTTTTTTAAATGTAAAATGTAGCAAAGTTCTCAAATTCTAAGTCAAAAATTGTATTATTCAATCCCTATCTCATAGGGCAACAGAAATGTTGAATTCAATAATCAGACTCTCATTTCACAAATAATTTTGCACCTACAGAACGTTCTTGAAGATACCTCATTGATTTTTAGAGGCAAGGCTGATTTTAATTTCTCTGATAAATTTATATTCATAAAAGCAATATTGTCCATGAGAAAAAATGAAATACTTTAAATTACACATTTTTAATGAGTCAAAATCGAACAGATCTTCATGGAACTACCCTTTCCGTCATCTGCAGATCCTCAGAACTTCCGGCCGATATGTACAAAGAAAGTAGAACCCGCAAAGTCCTTATGACGGCGACAGCCGTGCGTGTTCGGAAGTCCATCGCCCAGTGGGTCCTAAGGCCCAGGCGGCAGCGGCCTAAATAGGATCCTCTGGTTCCCCTGACAGGCAGACTGACAACTGGGGTAGCCCGGCAGCAGGGGTCAAAGGAGCCAGCGTTTATGACCCTAGAGCCGGGATTACAGAGTCTTCCGCATCTCTCAAACCTTAGAAGAAATCATGTCAGCCTGGATCCTTTTTTTCCTATATGGTCCAATAAAAATGAGCACATCACAGGGTATGTCACTTCTTAATTCAATATCTAGAATTTAAAGTACCTTAACTATCTGTAACAACCTGACTTAACTAAGAAATATCAACTAACTTTTACCCCCTCCCCATAGAGGGACATCTAACCAAACGACAGATGGCATGGACTAGGCAAAACCAGTGTAATCACTGACAAGCTAAAAATATGTAGTATCTTAAATTGTTTCATTTTTCTTTGTTTAAAAAGTTAATTTGGAATCTTTAAATGGATTACCTTTCATAAAGTATAATTTGAGAACAAAATAATATAGTCAAATAATCTTAAGAAATAACCCTAAGTACATTTTAGCTAAAATATATTCATTAATACCAACCCTGAAATAGTATGTTTCCATTAATTTTGGTTGCGTTTTAAGTTATAGTTCTCATTTTAATATGATCAAACGTCAAAGTAGAAATGCTTACTAAACAATAAAAATATAATCAAAAGGTCCGTAAATACATCACAGTTTATATACCCAAGGAAGAATCAACCCAAATCAAACTCTAATTCCAGATTCTGTATAGCCATAATTTTCCAACTAATTTGAGGCTTTATTAACTCAAACTTGCACCACAAAAACCAGTATCACAGGGTCTTGCTACCATAACAGAGGACCAAATCATATACTTTTCACCTCCACCTTTTAATTTATTTATTTTTATTTATTTTTTTGGTACCGGGGATCGAACTGGGGTCCTTGCGCTTGCAAGGCAGGCGGCAGAACCGCTGAGCTAAATCCCTGGCCCTCGCCTTTTAATTTAATCCTGAAGAAACCTGCCATAATTTCTTCATGGCTCCTTTCTTACCAAACTAAAATGTATTATCTGCCATACAAAGGTCAGGCTTGGGCCAGGGATTTAGCTCAGTGGTTCCTCTGACTGCCTCACAAGCACAAGGGCCGGAGTTCCATCCCTGGTACCAAAAAAAAAAAAGGCTTGTGTGCAGAATGAATTAACTTTCTAGAAAGCTCAAACTTCTAGGACATAATAAGACAGAAGAAGCAGTAGGTAAAGCAAGCCAACTCCTCCACCCTGATCCCAAAGTTCAGCCTGGCTTCAGTTTGTTACAATTAGCAAACAGAATAAGCAACGTGAATGTGCTTCGAAGTGTCACTTAAGTGCACGGTATTAGTCCCCAGAGCACTACACAGCAAAAGGGAGAACGTCACCTACCTATCCTACTGCTGCGACTGCCGCACTGCCGCTGCCACTCTGATCTCCAACTAACTGAAAAACAAGCCGGGTGGGAGCAGCCAGCAGCAAGCCCAGACCAAAGGAGAAGAGGCCTCCTGGTTAGGGGAGCAGGACGTGGGAAGCACCAGCGACTGCTGCTCCTCTCGCCACTCTCGCTGTGGAGTACCTTTCCAACTCTCCACAAGAAAATTAGGATCAAAACTCCCGTGCAGTGACCCTTCCAAAAGCACCACTGCTGTTCTAGTCACTGTCACAGCCGGCAGGAACAGAAGAGCAAAAGAAAAGGAACAGCGTAAAGGAGCAAGCGCCGTAAATCTAGAGCAGGATAAAAGGGACTGAAGCAAAGAATCACCCTGGAGTCGGTAGAAAAATGAAGATCTGAGGCTTTTTCTGCTGACGATTAACAAGGGATAAAAAAGAAACACCCACATTTCTGTTTCACATACAGCAGCAGGTTTTCCACGCTGATAAGCCACACCTGAGAGGGTCCCGCACCGTACTAGGAGCACACGGGGCCTTAGACACGCTCTTCGGGAGACTGGTGTGACCGCTTCGTTACACGGTGCACGTTCCTATGAAGCTGTGCATTGCGGTAAGACAAACTGCGGGAAACAAAAATTCTGTTTCCGATGTGTGTTCTGACTGTCTAGGTCTAAAAAGAGAAATTAGTCTGTGACACCTGACTGAAAGAAAGCGGATCTCGGCATGGTGAAGATGACTCCTGGGCGTGTCATTTAAATACTTGTTTTAAACCAAACTCTGCTTTACATGTCTAGAAATGTGTACGACTAATTCTTCAAGATACGAGCATACTTAATATTTAAGTTTAGATGATAGCAATGCTCAAAACAGGTATTTTGTTCATAAGAAACACTGAGTGAAACTTTAAATTTCCCATAACTGAAACCTTTCTTCAATGATTGATTTGAGAGACTTTACTAATAGCAATAGAATAAGCATTAAAACAACTGAAAGTCCTTTGCCGCAGCCGGTTATGTTTGTAATTCGTGGGGAATATCATCAACCCGTGGTTCTGTCTTACTGCAGTAATTAGGAGAGATGAAGCAAGAACGCAACTCGGAAATGATCACCACCGTTGCCGGTCCGGGGATGAGAGCCGGGACCGCAGGCGTCACGATGCCAGGCAGCTGGATGCTCCCTCTGCAGTCAGCCCCTGTGGCCTCCCCTCCCGTGCTAACGATCAGCTGCGAAAGCTAAGAGGCCAAGAACAAGAGCTAAATAATGGGCACAGCAAGCATAAGATGCTCTTCTATGTGGCCATATTTTATTTAAGACCTAAAAGCAAAAATTGGTAAAATTGAAATATGATTTAGGAAAATTATATTTATTAAAAGAAATATAAAAATAGACTATCCTGCCATTTCAAGTATACAAATATACTCACTGTGTGAGGCTTTAGTTACTCTCCGGTTCAATTTTTCATGTATCAGTAGCATAACTTTTATCCCTGGTATAGTGGAGGTCAGAATTCCTCACCTAGACACTGCGCCTAGGGCCAGCTCGTAACTAGCTAACTACTGAAAGCCCCAATCACAGTGAGTGAGTAGGAGGCAGATTAATCATTGAACTCCGAAGATAATGTCAGCCTGGAAATTTCTTAACCTAATCCCCCCACCCCAGCTCTAGCAATGATTACTAGCTCTGTGCATTACCACTTGGACACATCTCAACCACAAAAGGATGTTAGATGAAATAAAAAACAAAGACTTTAACATATAATGAAATTGGTTAGTGTAAATCTACATTGAAAAGAATGAATACGGGCTTGCTCTGACTCTTCCCCTAAGAACTTGGAGCAGAGGCTCCCTGTGTAAGACCAGCTCTGAGCATGGTTGTACAGGCGGGGGTCTGTGTCTGTCAACCTGGAGGTGTGATATCCTCCCTGCTCCCGGCCCACATAAAGTGACAAGGATTACGAGGCCCACAGGCCCCACAGTCTAGAAATAGAAAGCTGGAAATGATTGGAGACTGAGATTTTAAACTCAAACTCCATTAATATAACCCAGTGGTTCTCAACTGGAGGGAAAAGTTGTCCAATGGGGAACATCAGCAATGTGCTGCCATTTCCGACTTTCCCCTCTCAGGGAGGGGTGCTACTGGCACCCAGTGAGCAGGGATGCTGCTAAGGGGCAATTCTGCAGGGTACAGAACAGCTCTCCCCACAAACAATTACCTAGTCCATAATGAGGTTACTGCTGACCACGGGAGAGCCCTGACCTAGCCAGGCCACGTAGCACAAACCTTGCAGCCCCAGAACAAACTGATGTTTTACTTAGAAACCAACACTATGCATTCTTGTATCTTGAAGCTTTTAAAAAATCTTTTTCACCTCAGGTATATGTTTTGCAATCTCTTTAAAGGGCAAGCATCTTTCTTCACGTGTTCATCTTTGTTCTTCAGACAGGAAAGTACAATTGGAAAAATCTCCGCTTCAACAACCATTTCTGCCAGATCCACTGTGTTTTGCAATCTGACAGAGAGCTGAAAGGACCTGGTGCTGTTAAGCAGAAAACAAAACAAAACGTTACTATGTGGAGCCCACTAGTTCATTGCAGAGTGCAGGTGTAATTGAAGCAGCTTTATACAGATCCAAAGTCCTCTGAAGAAGGGGAAAATTGGGTCTCTCACAGAACATTTCCAAATTCTGAGGCTTTTACAACCTAGTCTCATACTTGATTTTTTAATTCCCTAATTTCCAAATTAGTCTATTTAAAAACTGTACTGCAGATTGTTAAACTATATGACCATTGGATGAACACTATTTCTTAATTGTATGATACATGTAGTAATTTAGTACAAAAATGATTAATCAGAACATTTCTTTTTAGCACGATACAGCATTTCAAAGAACTTTCCATTGCTCGGTTATCATTAACAACTTTATAACTATAGAATATAGTTGTTAGAATGCAAAAGCATAGTTGATGACTATTAACTGAAAATCAAGGTTTTGGAAAACTATAAAAGGACTAAGATAAGACCAATTTCATAAGACATTTGCATATCATAGTGAGGGGCTACCAAATCTTTAGTTCCCTTCCAACCCTGAGATTTGATTCCTTATTTTAATCATTGATGCTACTTTTAATTTCCAACATTACACATAGTTTTCCCAATCACATCTCCATTGTCTGGTTCTTATAGCACTATTTTCAAATTTAAAAGATCAGTAACATGTTTTCAGCGACAATTTACTAATTATTTTTTAGCTATACAACATGACTCTGTGCCATTTCCATTCTGTTAGATGGTACGGAGGCCGGCTTGTTTGCCGGTTGACCGTATTGTAAAGCACCCTCCATTGAGTGCCAGGGTTGAGGATCATCTGGGCTAAGTGACCAGAGGCTCCAGCGTCCACTACTCTGTCTCTGCACGAGCTCTGGAGGATGCTTTGAAATGTCACCGAGGGCCGAAGCGGCAACCCTTTTCAAAGCGATTTCTGGCTCCTGGATACAAAGTACTAAAAGAGGGACAGCTCCCGCATCCACCACAGCTTGTGACAGTTCTGTGGGTCCAAGGAAAGTAATTAAGTGAGTATGGGTGACTGACCCTTGTGCAAGCCATTTTTCACCCTGACAGATACAGCAAAGAAAAAAGGGGAGGGTGGACTCCACTCTCTTGACATCTGCATTTCAAATCAGTCTTCCTGGTTTCATAAACCATGTGGACCAATCCTGAGCTGAAAAGAACACAGGTCAATAGATGGACCTCCATTTACATGAGCACATTTGGGGTAGATTAGGCTGAAATGGCTTGTTATTCTTTTTTTTTTTTTTTTGAGAGTAAGCAGATGTCAGCTGTTTAAGCTCTGACAATTCTGCACTTCTCAATAGGCAAGCATTTTATGCATGGTTTACAATAACAGAGAAAATTAAAGTACCAAAAATTTACCATCCACACTAATTAGCCAGTATTTTGTGCTATTTACGTGAGTAAACATTAACATGAATCTTGTGCCAATAATGTCGATTTTTAAATTCCCTTAATCTTGTTTCACTTTTTAAAGATTTTTTTAAAAAACTATACAAAATAAAAAGCTGTGTTTTCATTGTGCATTAAGAAAAACTTTCAAAAATGAGATTTGCAAGGGACCAACGTACTTTTATACATAAATGTTAATGTTTAGATAAAGGAATGAATGTATTCCATGTTCCATGTTAGAAATCAAGTAAATATCTTTTGAATACGCATGTTGATTTACTTATGTGCCCAAGAATGACAGCTACAAAAATAACACATTTTAAATTATATAGAATGGGAGACAAGCAGATAGGCCCATATATGTGTAAAAAAAGTGTAAGAAGCACAAGCCCCATACAGAGCTGTAGATTTTACTCTCGCTGCATCCCTGCCTCCTCTTACAGAATCACATGCCCCATTTCTACAATCTCCCCTATATTATGTCCTCTTTTTCCAGATTTGTAGTGCCAAGCCATATATGCATGTCTCATCGAGTGAAAACAGCTGTTTACGTGTCACTTTAAAAGTATTTAATTCAAAGAAGTACAATGTTTAATTTTTCCAAAGATTGATGGTATCACATTTTTAATATCACGTTTTTTCTACAAAACAGTATTATCAAATGCAAGTTGGCGTTCAGTTTGTTCTCCTTAAGTCTCCCTGTCGTACAAACAGTTCGTTCTTTCTTTAAGCAGATATTAATGGAAGGCGGCTATGTACCAGCTCGCTCAGGCCTGGCGCCTGTGACCCTCTTTGCAGCACTACAGTCGTGACCAAATGAATTTGATTTTTTAAATCTAGAGGGAAATATTTCATACAGTGAGCCATTCCCATGTGACCTGAAGAACCAGAGGCAGATAAGAGGAAAATGGAGGGCATTTAAGAGGACAATAGCAGAGAGATTGGAGCAGCAACCTGGCAGTGTAACGGGCTTGTCAGATTGTCAGAAGCAATCTCTCCTTTGATGCTGCATTCGCCTGAAGACCAACAGCCCAGCAGGCAAAGTGTTTCTCTCCCCAACCTGGGAAGAAAAATAGAAGGGTAAAGTAATTTTTAAGTACAATCCTCATTTTCTGTTAATTATTAACATGCTCCTTAAGAATTCAGTTCAACTCAAACAATACAAGTGTTGTAATATCAACCTTCTATGTACCTATTGCAATGTTAGGAGCTGAACATTTTGTTTTGAGAGCACAAGGATTAACTCATCTGTTCAACCACTGTATACTTAATTTCTATGTGTAAAGAATTTGCAGTAAACTGCAACTCTTTAAAAGCACTCTTAACAAAAACTGGAAGTTCTGTATAAAACTATTGTCTTCATAAATCTCATATCCTCTGAGTTGTGTGTGTTACTGGGGACTGGACCTAGGGCCTTTGCATTGAGCTACATCCTCAGCCCTTTTAATTTTCTGAGACAGGGTCTCACTAAGTCAGTAAGTTGCTCTGGCTGAGCTCAAACTTGTGATCCTCCTGCCTCAGCCTCCCGGAGTGCTAGGATTACAGCGGGAGATGCCACACTTTGCCATAATTCCACATGACTGCTACAGTGTGCCTTATGCTTTCACTGAGCACTGTGTGGCTAACAGTAAAGCAAACTGTCCTCTCACACTTGTCACCAGGCCTCATCCCGAGCCATGCGCTATTCCCTCTGGAGAAGTGACAGGACATGAGAAGGCTCGGGATGGTCCTGGAGAAAGGCTCACCATGAACGTAATGTAGTTTCCCGGGACCAGAACTGGACCCAGCAATTTCGTACCCACATTTCATACCCCCAAGTAAACGTAGATGGTCTGACGAAGTCGGGCTGGTCTTGAGTAGAACATATTGTTCCTTAGAAATACAGCCACCCTACCTTCATTCGTACGTTAGATGCAAGGGAGCATATACAGTTACTTGTTGACGCTGGGATGCCTGAAACTCATCCAATTTAATTCTTGGTGTATTTTGATGTTGAAAATTTTTTCCTAGAAGTTGTCATTTGATACTCGATGCACAAGGTGGAACTTGTCAGTGTTTATTGCCTCCTGACTCTTTCCAGCCCAAACATTGTTTTCTCATTGCTACTCATGCCTCCTGGACCAAATCAACCATGAGTACCAAGGTACCACTGTATCCAGGTAGCAATGCAATAGGCTATTTCAACTTCCTCTGGTGTTTCGGTACCGGTCACTCCTGGGGTCTGTCCGGTAGCCTCTGTCGGCTTGTCAGGCCAAAAGAACCTGAGTGGAGGTCAGTGGGAAACATCTGTGAAAGGTTTTTCTGTAATAAATTGAGGTTCAAGGGAGAAAATACCATCTTTTCCATGTTGGACATGGTCTTGTCTGCAAATGACATCTAGAACCCCTACATCATCTTCCAACTATAACAGAAGAAATCACCAATACACTAAGGATGGTGGAGTACAAAAGAAACATTTGGGTCCTCTCTAGCCAACCTTGGAACTGCCCCAACTCTGAACTGTGTGTCACATGATAACAAATAAAAAAGTCCTTCTTATTTAAGCCATTTGTAGCTGATACTCCTACCGTTGAAAACACCCAATACAATTCTTTGCTTTCTAGTGCATGGTGTCTGTGCACATTTTCCGCTCTGCCTTGGCTCACTGAGTGTTCATAAAGGACTTACTATGTGCTGGAAACCCGGCTAGCCTTTGGGGAAGCAAAATTACAGAGAAAGGCTGTTCTGTTCTAGCAGACCCTGTGCAAGGTGAACGCATGAACAGACCACACTACAACCACAGCAGAGCTAATAGTCAAGACAATCATGTGAGCACAGAGCTGACTCAAGTCTGGCATGTTCAGGGAAAAAGTATGCAGAGCCATGCTTCCCATCTTGCTCCCCTTTTCTTTTTTCTATACTTTTCTATCCCCTACAAAAGTAATGGGGGCCGGGCGTGGTGGCGCACACCTGTAATCCCAGCACTCGGAGGGAGGCTGAGGCAGGAGGATCGCTGTGAGTTCGAGACCAGCCTGGGCTACATAGTGAGTTCCAGGTCAGTCTCAGCTACATAGTGAGACCCTGTCTCGAAAAATCAAATAAACAAAAAAGGAAACAATGTACAAAATTCTGCACATCCAAAAATTATTTCCCTTAGAAGAAATCTTAAAGAGCTCATTTAAAGCACTAATTTGGAAATAAAATTTGGAGTGTTCAGTTAATATTAAGGATTGATATGTACAGACTCAGGTGATCATAAAAGGTTGACCAAGAAAAAGCAGTAAATCAAAAATTTATCTTTAGTACTTTAAAACATCTTAGCCTCATTAAAAAAAATTTTTTTTTGATAACGGAGATGGAACAGCCTCATTTAAATTATAAATCATCTTCAGAATTAGTTTTTTAAAAATACATATTAGTCAATATGTGACATAATCTTAAACTGTAACTAACAAGCAAGATTAAAAAGTGGCTATAACTATGTTTTAAAATGCAAAGGAAAAAGGCTACAAGTTATGCTAACACGATAATTACACTAGGATAGTACTATTGGTGATATAGTTTTCTCTTTTTGCCACATTTTCTTCAATGTAGTTATTTTTAAAAATACAAACATCTGTTCATACTTCTAGCTACTACTGAGACCAACTGTACTATAATTATTCTGTATCTGTGTTTTTTGGTACAGGGGATCGAACTCAAGAACTTGCGCTTGCAAGGCAGGCAGTGGAATGACTGAGCTAAATCCCTGGCCCCTAACGTTATTATTATAAAGAGAAATATGTAAAATTTCTAGCTTATTCCTCAATGAAGCAGAAAGTTTATTTTTAAAATGGTGAGATATGTCTCCTTCATATAAAATACTGGAAAAGAGTATATTATTATTTGAAGAAGTCCTGCTATATGCTAGAAATATTTACTTTTTCATACATTATTCATGCCTTTATTACATTAAAGATGAAATGTTACATTGCTAAATGTTAGGAGTTATTTTTAATCAGCTTTAGATGGCAAGTTGTCAGCCAAAATAACATTATCCAATAGTATTTCCTTTCTTCACAAATATCAAAGCCATTTGTTTGCACAAATGGAGACAGCTAAATGTCTCCAAATGGAACAGCCATTGCTGCTTACGAGCAGCTCGTGTGAGCGCAGCGACGGGGCAGCCTCCTCTATGGGCTGTGACGAGATGGGAGGCGTCATCTTGTACTTCTCCTCCTCTCCGTTTTCCTACAATTCTAACAACCTAGAGGTTATGTGCGTGCAAGTTTTAAAAATAATAGTACTGTGTGAAACTCTGGTGTGACAGGTGTTAGATTTTCTTCCTTTGCATTCTCCCACACAGTTGCACTTTTAAAGTTTCATTCTGTACTGTTCCTGGGCCTGGGTATTTGTTTGGCTTTTTACTAACTAAAGACTGAACTTACGGATCTCTCACTAAGAGATGTAAAGTGTTGTGACTTGAATGGATCAAAACCTGCACCTTAATAATGAAAAGCCTCAGAATAACTTTAAACTTAAAAGGAGTGTAATTAAAAAGGAGGACTTTTAAGATGAGAAGCATCCATAAAATTGGTACTAAGGGTAATATTAGAACTATCTGCAAAAAGAAAAAAAACTATGTTGGCTAAAAGGAGAGCAGAGAGGAAAGCAGTCAGCACAGAGTAGGTAAAAGTGACTTTGCTTTAACAGTGCTCACAACGGTCTCTCCCCTCTTCTCTCTCCCTCTCCCCTTCTCCTTTCTTTGTCTCTTCCCTCCCTCCACCCACCTACACCCGTGCTAGAAATAGAATCCAAGGCCTCTCACGAGCCAGGCAAGCCCACCTTCCACACTGAGCTACATCCCCACCTCTCAGCCTCTTGTTTTTCCAGTGCGGGGACTGGAAGCCAGGGCTCCAGTTAATTCCGGAAGGATGAGTTGTCTGTTCAGGTCAGAAGTGATAAACTCGATGCCCGCAGGCTCCAGGCAAGTAACTGAATTAAGTGAGGTCAGAGGAGGTGGGGAAGTCGGGCACCGTCTGCAAGGGGCGGCTGCTCCTCAGCTCAGCCCTGCGTGGCCATGCGGCCTGGAGGCCTGCTGCTGTCAGTCCTTTTTAATGAGAACCTGGCTGGCTCTTAACTGTCAGCAACTTTACTTTTCAGAAAACACTTGTGAGTCAACACGGTGCAGGCCAAACAGACATTCATCTTGGGCAGCTAGATCGCCTTCCACAAACTCCGGTGTAAATCTTACACCTAAAATTTGTGGGGTATTGGTAGGCAGATGTGGAAAGGTGATGTTCTTCCTACTTTTAATTCTTGAACTCATGCTGTGGAGTTATAAACGAAGAAGCCTGTAGTGGTTATATAAGAAAATTCATAGAATCCCAAGGAATTTTTAAAATCCTAAAATTAGTTTGCAAAAGGAGTTTAATTTAAACCTATGTAGGTTAACTAATTTTTTTTTTTTTGAGACAGGGTCTCACTATGTAGTCCAAGCTGGTCTTGAACTTACGAGGTAGCCCTAGCTGCCCTCAAACTCGTGGCAATTCTCCGGACTCAGCCTACTGAGTGCTGAAATTACAGGCATGCACCATGACACCTACCCTCAATTTTCTCGCTCATGATGGCAGTGTAGGGGAGAAAAACTGGAGCAAAATTGAATGATTCTGAGAACTCATGACAAGTCAAAATGAAGAGGCTGCCAATGAGAGAAAAAGGAAAAAATGTATCTAGCACTCAACTTGAACATTAGAAATAAAAAGCTCTGGAACTCTAATTTACTGCTTTTTAATTTTCCAGCATTGCTTTTAACTATCTTCTAAGCCCTATAAAATTGTTTTTATCTATTTCATTCAAAAATACAAGAAAGTCCAAATTGATCACTTCTTTGCACTTAGGCGGCCTATTTATCAGTGTAAAGGTGCCGTTTTTCACACCTGAAGATAAGACCAGTCCCATCTTTTAGTCAAGCACTGTACCACTGAGCTATCTCTCTACCTTTGGTGCTAGATCCCTACCCCATAATAGGGATGGATCCCGGGGCCTTCTTACCAACTTGCATCCCCAGCCCCTTCTAAAACAAGATCCCACTAAATCACCTAGGCAGGGCTCAAACTAGCAATCCTCTTGCCTCAGCCTTCTAGAATGCTGAAATTACAGGTATGGGCCACTGTGCTCAGCCTGGCTGGTTTGGGCAAACAGCCATAAAAACATAACTGTATCACTTCAGACCCTTTTGAAAATAGTGGGTTAAAAATGTAAAACTGGGCTACCATTTATGATATTAATCTTAACAAGTAACCCCATTCAACTAAATTCGTGATTAGGTAAAAGTACAATAACAAACTATGGTGCTGCAGTTGCCAAAGCTGACTATTTGTTCACTATACTCTAGTATGATTTCCGTAACGGCATGTCCAAAGCAAAAGAAATTTTGTTTAGTTTTTTTAGCCTAACTTGTTATTCATACCTGGTATAGGAATCTCCTGCTGTGTAATGAGTCATACCCAACTTAGAAGTTTAAAACCATCAACATTTACTGTTCCATAGTTGCTGTGTCCTAGCTGGGTGGTTCAGGCTCGGGACCTCTCAGCTACAATCGAGGTGTCTGGTGCCCTCTGAGGATCCACTTCCGAGCACGCTCAGGGGTGTCAGGAGGAATCGGTTCCACGCCATGCAGTTTCTCCATGGGCCATTCTGAGGAGGCTTTCCGCAAAGTGAGGGACCCAAAAGAGCGGACCCAAGACAACAGCTAAGAGAGTTTCGGTCTGACCTCGGCAGTGGCAGGCCACCACTTCTGCTATGGTTTACTGGTACAGTGGGGGAGGATAACCGGGGGTGAATGACCTGCGACAGGCAGCATTGGCCGTCACCATGGAGACGACCATGGAACGCTTGCTCCTCACCTCACGTCTGAGGCAACATCCATACGTAACAATGACTCACACGAACTGTTAACTTGAGCTGAGTGATTGACATTTCCAATTTGCAGGTAGAAGTAAGAAAAGCATGCAGAGGGAATTTGTATATTATGAGAAGGTCTCGTGTGACATTTCTCTCACACTCACAAATGTCACTTTTCCTACACTCATCATTTTCACCTTGCTTTCCTCCACCCTGTCTTCAGAGCCACTGGTTTAGCCTTAACACATGGATCGAGTGTTTGAGAGCTTAAGAGTTAACATACTTACATTTGCTTTGAAGATTAAATAGTTCTGGCTCCTTTTAAAAAGCCAAGTGAGCCAAATAGGTCATTGATGTGAAGTTAATGGGAGTTCAGTTAGAAATTATAATCAGATGGGTGGACGGTGCACTTACAGGACTAAAGTATTTTTTTTTTTAAAGGCAGCTTCAAAGCATGGTAAGGAAAAGTCAAGGAGAGACCAGAGAAAGTTGGAAGTGATAAAGACTTAGGTATGGCTTTGAAAAATAAAAGGAGAGAATTTACAGTATTTTTTGTCTCCAACTCCACCACCACCACATTTGAATAAAGCAAAATCACAGAAGGTCTGGAGTGCCCTTAAAAAGAACAGAATAAATGAACTGAAATCAGGGCTTTATAAAATATGCTTCCTGTATCTAGGTCTTTTATCTGCTTTCTCTAGCATTGTAACCATAGTTTTAGTTCCACTCTGCCTATAATTTTACATTCTATTTTAACAAGCTATAACAGGAGAAATATGTATTTTACTATTCAGACTCTACTAGTATTCATTCTTTGTTTCAAAGAGCTAGGTAAGAAGACCCTGTCTTCAGGAAACTCAGTCAGATGGAGAAAGCTGAACAGTATAAGGCTACAGGTACTCGAACGAAATTCCCCTTAAGAGCAGACAAAGGAAAGAGAAAAATAGAAAAATTGAACAAAATAAAACACTGGGAGGTTTAAAAGTTTGCATCACGTTTTATAAAAGTGGTCACTGGTCAGCTCTTACTGTGCCTCCCCGATTCCTTGCACCCTCTCTCATGGGCTTCCTATTTCCCGGGTGGATAAGGATAGAGCTAACTGAACATTTTAACACTGCCTAGTATCCTGCAAGTAAATTTGCCAGTCAGCTGGTCAGCTTCGTCAGTCTCCCACATTAGGGTATTTACTTAGCTTTTGGTTTGGTTGTTTACCATTTTAATGTATAATGAATCTCTTTTGCATTCAGATTACATATTTAGCTATTGTTATGTATCTAATGACCCAAATCTCAGCACTTGAAAACATCAGCACTTATTACCTCAGTTTCTGTTGGTCAGGAATCCAACAACAGCTTGGCTGGGTGGCTGGGCCTCAGAGTCTCTTGCGAAGGTGCCATCAGGCGCTCCGCTGGGCTTGCAGTCACCTGAAGGCCTGACTGGGGGGAGGGTCTGCTTCCAAACTCTCCCCCGTGGGTGCCAGAAAGCCTGTTTCTAGCTGGCTTTTGGGGCTTCAGTGCTCCCTAAGTGTCCTCAAGACATGGCAATTGGTGTCCCCTACAGCAAGTGACCAGAAAAGGGAGTGGGGAGAGAGTGAGAGAACACTTGTGCCTGTTCCCTTTCCTCTCAGTAGTGACCTCTGCTGGACCCAGGCATGCTGTGGGAGGGGGACCACACGAGGGTACAAATACTAGGATACAAGATCTAAAATCTTAGAGACGGGCTACCTCAGGCAGTACACACACACACACATACAAGTATATCCCCACAGATTTCACTTAAAAACGTGCGTGTACACACGTGTGACAGAGAAGATGAGGGGAGAGGCAGAAAGAGAAAAAGAATTTACATCTTAGGCCCAGCAGTGCAATTCCTGACAGTACGGGTGTTGACAGTCTTTGAGGTTTTTGATATATTCAAGTTAAATGACATGATGTTGCCGGTTCTGTTGTTCTAGACAAATCAAATACAGGTAATTTCATATAAGCCATCCTAACATATACTGCAATACCGTTTCCCAAAGAGGTTGCATCAGTAAGTATCGCCTTCAGTGATACATGGGACGAGACCGGGGCTGGGCACATCCCTTACATTGGAGCTTTTATACGTGATTACTAGAAACTGAATCATTTACTTTTCTCCAAATGCTATTTTTTAATGCCAAATATCTTTTATTTGGAATTGTATGATTAAAGCCAGTTTTCCAAGAAGGCAGACATAGCAAATGTGTTTTAAACAAATTTTTTTAAAAGCACATAGATGGTTCTCATATATGATTAAGGTACTCAGTTATTTTGGATCATGAATGACACAGGGCTGGGGATTTAGCTCAGTGGTGCCATGCCTGCCTCGCAAGTGCAAGGTCCTGAGTTCAATCCCTGGTACCAAAAAAAAAAAAGACACAAAACCTTCAACACAATAAATTTTAAATCTTAGCTTTTAAAAATCACTTATAAATAGGTCAAATATCACTCAGCCTGAAGGAAATGCATTCATTAACAACATAGTAGTCCAACAAAACTAACACTTATTGCTGACTCCGCTCACAATATAATCCCTTTCCAAGCAGCAGTGCTGTCTCCGGGAATATTTTGTGAGCACCTTTTGCGGGTGCACCAAACGTTCACATATCCGTGAAACACAGCCTTGCCCACAGGGGCTTTCAGTGTGGCAGGAGAGTCACCTCAGCTGCCCCCAGCAAGGCCGGGCCCCAGCCATCACATGCTTTAACACAGGAGCCCTAGGGCAGCCATCAGACACCAGGGCACGTGTCCACCTGACACACCAAGGAAGGGTGATGGGATGGAACTCGGGGTCTCACACACGCTAAACAAGCATTCTACCCCAGCCCGTAAAGGTTTTATTTAGTTCGTTTGTATTGTGTTCTTCCATGCTTCCACTCCACTAAATTAAAAGAGAAAAATGTAACTCCAAGCCAACGGTACCACATTTGCTGTCCCACATGGCGGGGTGGCCTGTTCCTGTGCCCTAGTTCTCCACGGTTCTACATCCTGATGTCCAGCTCAGTAGTTTGTACTGCTAAACCGATGTGCAAATTGAGGTAGTGTGTAGACAGCTCCCCATCCGACTTCAGGATCCACCCTGATGAAGTCACCCGGGTTCGTTTTGCAGTCTCCGGTTCCGCACAGGGATAAGGTGGGGGAGGCTCCCGCCAATTCCCCCTGGAGTCTTTCACGTGAGACCCGTCAGAAGCAAAATTCAAGTAGCAATCAGAACAGATCACTAAATTTCCTCCTGAACTGCGGATGAGCGTCCTCATCAGACTTCAAGGCATCTTCTGCGTATGTGTCCGAGGGGCAGGGAAACGGCAGTCCGGTTACTGAGATCAGAAATGAAGCTCTGTCCTCCACGCAAAACGTGAAGCAAAACATGGTAATCCCAGGTGGCGGGTCCATTTCCGGGTCTTGCTGCTTCCAGACAGGTATTATCTTCTCATTCGATATAAAGACAGCGTAACATTCTCCCAAAGGATACTAGTCACGGTTTTCCACGTATCCGCAGAGCTCCCAAATATGTTCTGTTGTAGACATACGCAGCCCTCATGGGGCAGGCGGGCCGGTACTGCAGAGCTCCAGAGACAGGGTTCTGAATGGCAGGGCCGCGCGCACCGACCTGACCTGGAAGCAGCCTGCTCGGGGTGGGTGGAGCCTCCAAGTGCTACTTTCAACTGCATATTCCCTAATTTACCACACACTGATGTTTAGTTATGCTGACTAATACACTCAAATATTACATAGGACTCCGTGATCACAGCATTACTATGTGTGTGTGTGTGGGGGGGGGTGATGCCAAGGATCAAACCCAGGGCCCAGGACAAGCATGCTGGGCAAGCCCTGTACCGCTGAGCCATGCACCCCGTCTTTCTCACTGCTTTCTAACAAATACCCGAAAAACACAGATTCAGTACTTTAAAGTCAATGCTAGCCAAGGGAAATGCGAGTCACATAATATAGTTAAAATTTTACTATCTAGAAGATAAAAATAGGTGAAATTTTAAAATACCTTAATGCAATGTATCTATCTAAAATATAATTTCAACATGTAACCAAGCAATAGCTTTAGAAGTTGAACTATTCAGACCTAATTTACTCTTATGGGATGAGTTTGGAAAGGTTTGGAAATCTATGGCTTGAATGAATTGAGCCATTTCACATTCTTTTCCTTACACTAAATCTTGGACCCCAGCATGTATTTTGTATTTGAAGGTTGTCTCAAAGATACTAACTTTAGCAGAAATCCTTGATGTGATTTAAGATGCAGTGGCACATATCTGTAATCCCGGCTACTCAGGAAGATGAGGCAAAGTCTTTCAAAGGAGTTGATTTTTACCCTTTAACAAGGTTGGACCAGTGAAGGGTGGCATCTTGCTAATTCCTAACATGCCCTCAAGACATCTTTTGTATTGTCCTGGCTTCTGTTTATTTATTTATTTGGTACCAGGGATCGAACTCAGGCGCTTGTGCTTGTGAGGCAGGTGGTGGAACCACTGAGCTAAGCCCCTGGCCTTGGTTTCTTTTTAGCAGTCTTGCTCTTCTTTGCTCCAATTTTGCAGGTGTTTCTTTTCTGACAAAATGATAAAACTTTTAAAATGGGCTCTTTGTTCTTGATTCTAACTGCAAACCTGGCTAAAATCAGACAGAAGTACATATGCCATCTCAATGTCGGGCTGCTCTGCAATTTCTTCTGCCAGATTAACTGGTCCACAAGCTTCAGTCTTGGTGTACTGCAGTCTCAGGACATGTAGGCACATTTTTTACTAGAACATAATGTATGTGGCCTCAAGTCCAGCTGCCAATGGAGTCCTCGTTCCCCACAGAAACCTGCTGAGCCTGGCCTTTACTCTCAAATTTCCAACAGCATTTTCTTCTGGGCTTTAATCAGAGTCTCCCATCAACCTTGGCTTGCAGCATTCTAGGGCTTCAATAGCCAGCATCGCCAAACCTTTCCAAACTTCATCCCATGAACTACTTCCAAAGGCTTCTAAACCATATGGTCAGGTATTCATAGCAACAGTCCTACTCCCAGTACCAAAATCTGCCTTAGTCGATTTCCTGTTGCTATACACAATATCCAACACTCACAACTTACAAGAGAGGCTTATTTGGGCTCACAGTTTCAAAAGTCTTGGTCCTTACATGGTCCATGGGCTCCAAAGAAGAAATGACATTTGGAAGGGCCTGGGCAGAGGCAAGCCGCTCCTATCACGGTGGTCAGGAAGCAGAGACCAAAGAGAGGCATCAGGAAGGGAGATACAACTCCCTGGTTATGCCCTCAGCGAACCACCCCTTCTGACCAGGACTTGCCTTTGAAGAGCAAGTTAATTGTTGGTATGGCACTGTGATCTAATCACCTTCCAAAAGCCCTGCCTCTGAGCACATTCTAGATCTAAACCATAATAATTTTTAATATAGTATTCTAAACTCCTCCAATATTTGCAGAGCTGTCTGGATGACCTTTTGTCTATCTGCATCAAATTTTCTACATTAGATTTTATTGGCTTTTTTTGTTGTTGTTGTTGTTGTTGCTTTTTGGTACTGGGGATGGAACTCAGGTCCTTGTGCTTGCAAGGCAGGTGGCAGAACCACTGAGCTACGTCCCCGGCTCTCTACCTCAGATTTTAAAGTCCAAGAAGTAAGATTTTAGCCGATTTATTTTACTTTATACACTAATAATGCTATAGTAACACACACTTATATAAGATTACTATCATTGATGGTGTTGTGAAAGAAATTTATCATTATATCTTCCTCTGTAAAGTTATAGGCTTGAGTGACAGGAATTTGAGGTAAAATGATTACTTTGTTGCTCCATATTCTAAACTATTTTTAGTGTAAAAAAAAATTCAGAAGCATTTATTAATTGATGTTCTTAACTAAAAAATAAAAGCTAAAAATATAGAAGAATCACAATATATTTAGACTAATATAAACTGATCTTAGAAAATCACAAATTAGATAACCACCAAATAAAAACAAGGTTATAATATAAATATTAACACATTAAGCCTCCATGCTCAAAGAATACAGAAAACATTTCACTTTTTCCCTTTTTCACTAACACCTAAATATATACAAAAGCATTTGTGAAAATAAGTTAAGATCAGACATGGTGCGTGTTATGTATAATCCCATATGCCTCATTTACCTCTGCTATGTGTTTTATGACCCCTCCAAGATAGAAGAGGTTATAAAATTTAAAAAACAAAGATATTCAGAAATCAACATGTTTGTTTATAAGCACAGGTAAAGAAGTAGTTTATAGCACCTTTTTAAAAACTTTGTTCCTGAGGTGAGGTCTTAAAGATGTTCCTGAACAAGTGGGTCCTCCTGCCTTAAGTGGCTGGTGCTGTAGTCTTGCACAACCGTGAATTTGTAATTAACAGATTCTAGTTCCCTTTTCATCATCAACCCTTACTCTAAGGCATAAAGTCCAGGGCCTCTGGCTCTTCCCTACACTTTCAACATTAATATCTGGGCTTTTAAAAGTAACTTTGAACAACAACCACCACAAAGTAACTTTGAAAATTGCTTGGAGAGTAGCTTTTAGGTGTCTTTACCTCACCTTTTCAAAAAAGTTAATTACTGCTTTCTAAACCATACTGCACTATTTAGGCTATTGCTGCTTGTACAAATAGCATGAAAAAGAATAGCTGAAAAAATTCTGAATTGTGAAATTCTCTTCTCCTTTTCTTATTTCATTATTCCATGTAAGATAGGAAACAATCAGGCTGGCTAGATGTTTTGACTCCTCCTCCTGTCTACTTAGTAAGTAGGATACAATCCACAAAGGTTCCTACAGTGTCCATGTCAGCCAGTCCCTGTGGGCACTGCTCATTCCTGGCCACAGCCAGCTCGTCTCCTAACTGCTACTGAGCTAGACATAAATCAGGACTTCAGAGAAAGAAGTCACACATGTGGAAACCAGTTATCTGGGATTAAAGACAGCAGAATCTGGCAAGACTTTCAGAAATTACAAGGAGCTTAACAAGAAGAATGATGAGGCTTTGTATACTGTCCTTTCTCACAGTATAAAAAGAAAGAATCTCGGGCAAGTTTTTGAGTATCTGTCAAACAGTTCCACCACAAAGTGCTGCGTAACCAGAATGAATGCTCTAACATTTTTACATCAGTTTCCTCATGGCACATCAATAATTAAAAAGTTATAATCCACCTAATCCAATGTACTGTACTCCTCCTCTCTGCCAGGCTTAGGAACAGCTACAAGTTTACTACTAAGATGCATCCTTTTGTAAGCTAATGCTCCCAAAAGAAATACTTAAAACTTACTTTTCAGCCCAGACATGGAAGGCCAATACACAAAACGCTGCATTTCTCCTCCCTCGCATTTCTAGCTCAGGCCATGCTCTCTCTCTGGCCGCTTCCACCCTGAAGGTCACCAGAAGCACTCCTCCACCAAGCTACAGGGCTCCCAACAGCAACCAGGGCTAGGAAAGGCAGTGGGGTTGGGGAAGGGCGGCCTACAGCCTTGGGAGGTGCCTCCCAGCTGCTGAGCCAGCAGGTGAGGAAGCCAGGTCTGCACAAGTCCTGTCCCTCTGCCTAACCCCTCGTACTTCCATCAGCAGAGGTTCCTTGGACACCCTCCATCTGCCAAAGCAAGATGGTGCTTGGAAACAGTTAAGAGACTTGACACTGGTCAGGTAGAGAGAAATGTCAACAGAACAGTCCTGCAAAGTGGGAAAGAGTAGCAAGGAGGAATAAAAAGACAACCAATCTAAGAAGAATTTACCTCAGCCTTCCATAAGAGCAAGGAAAAAGATTAAGAAATAGCTCATTTATCTTCAAAGTAAGAGGTAAATATTATCATTACATAATAGTCTAGTTCACAATAATATAAAATGATAGGTAATATTAGACTATCATAGTATAATAGCATCATTTGTACAGAGATGGAGATCAAAAAACCAAATCATTTCATTGGCAACCAGCAGCCCATTCCCTTTGATTTTTCAGTAAAATGTTTTGAAAACTTTACATAGAAAAACTTTTAGAAATTTTATTTTTTAGTAAGCTACAGTCAGATAATTCCTATTGGCTGCTCTCCTCTATTGTACACTTTTTTTTTTTTTTTGTACCAGGTACTGAACTCGGGTCCTTGTGCTTGCAAGGCAGGCAGCAGAACCACTGAGCTAAATCCCCAGCCCTGTACAGTTATTTTTGCTTCCCGTACATAAAATACTTTTATTCTGCTTCCTTTGAATAAAGTACACTTTGTTCTTTTGCTGCTCGGTTTAAGGTCTAAATATTTCTTAAACTAATCAAACATTCTATCACTAACATTAAGAAAATTGAATAATATCCTCCCCATTAACCTCAATATATTTGACCTCTAGGAAATCATTAATAAATAAATCAGGTTATTTAGAGGTAAATCCTCTATTTTCACTGATGTGGATGTGAGTGATGACTTCTTCTATGCCTTACTAGATAACAATTCCCTTTCCTTCTGAGAAATCTAGGCAGTAATCTCTTCTGGGAGCTTCTGGGTCCCAAGCCCCTAACTACTGTGAAATATTGAAATTACAGTGGGAATTCTGTGTGAGAACCAGATCACAGCAAGAAATTGGAAGGGAATCCCTAAGTTGGATCCTATTTATGAAGTCTGATAATTTCAACCAGACTCAACAAAAGGACAGGATGAAAAGGTTATCTCTGGCCACCTGCCCGACAGTGTATCTGTGTTGTTGGCCCACAATGCTCTTTTGTACCACTCTGAAATTCTCAGTCACAATCTGTGACATGTCCCTCTGACAAATCAAAAAACTTATTGAATTCTCTTATATAGTTTCCAGAGATAACCAGTTTGTGCTTTAAAACACTGCCTTAGCTTTTTTACTCAACATGTACTGAACAATAGTATTAAAGTGAACCTATCTGGAACACCAAATCCTACCTATTAAAGAAAATTTAATATATAAATTCACAATCTTTCTAAGCACAATAGTTTTCTTTCTCAATCTGGTTTTCCACAGTTTTACTTCTATTGTCTCCAACAATGTCACTGCTTTAACAACCAAATTAAACACAATTGTGGGAGAATCTCTCCATTTCTGTTCAATACTTTTTCTGAAATTATTTAGTAGAACTGTATGTGATACTAGTTAACATGGGCTTGAGAGTCAGATAAATTTAGACCTGAATTCTTATCTAAATCACATAACTTCAGGCATTTTCTCTAAGTTACTTTCTTTCTTCACTTAACAAGAATACCATCTACCAAAGAGCAGCTGTACTCAAAATGAGACAAGGTTGGGGGTTGGGGATTTAGTTCAGTGGTACCACATCTGCCTCACAAGCACAAGGTCCTGGGTTCGATTTCCAGTACTGGGGGGAAAATAATATGTGTGAAGCACAGAGGACAGAGACAGGTATATATTTATTGCTCAACGCATAATAGATACGTAGATAAATAGGGAAGTGAAAAAATATCCTTAATTCTACCACCAAATAAAACACATTTTACATCATAACTGTAAAGTACAGTTTTATCATTTTCCACATTACTTTCATATTATCAGGGAGGGATCCTAACTACTCTCTTACTTTGTCACATGAAATTCCATTAAGTAGATTACAATAATTTAACCACTAAATTTCTGCCAAATATCTGAGGAATTTTGCTCTTACACGTAGTGTTGCAATAACCTTTTCATGAATATAGCGTTTTCATTCAGTAAGATTCTTTAAGATGAATTTCCAAAGCAGGCTTTTTAGGTAAAGCATGAGCTCTTTCATTGTTTCATTTTGGGAAACTGCCTTTCATGTGTTTATGCAATCTGTAGTTCCTCCTCCAATACCATAAACTTATCTTGGAATGGGTCTTGCTTTTCTTTTAAAGTTTCTTTGAGACAGAGTCTCACTCTGATTCAGGCTGGCCTTGAACTCACTGTGTAGCCCAGGCTGGCCTCCCTCAGACACAGCTGGCATTACAGGCATTCACCATGCCTAGCCAAGCTGGCATCAAACCATCCTCTTGCTTCAGTGACTTTGGGCCTCCCAAGTAGCTGAGTTTTACAGGTATGCGCTCCCACACCTGGCTAAATGTCACGCTGCCATGTCCTCTTTGAGATCCAGTACTCATACTAATATCTTCCATTTGCTAAGTGCTTACCATATGCCAACCACCGGTCTGAGGGCTTACATGTATTACCTCATCATCCTCACATCTCTAGAGTAATTACCATTAGTGACCTCTTGCAGATGAAGAAGTCAAGATTCAGAAAGTTTCCCAGCCACGTCCAAGGTCACACCGCAGCTAGGTGTGACTTACTGAGAGACTCGCTGAGATGCTGTCTACCTTCACAGTGCTCTCAAACACTTGGTTCTGTTGCCTTTCTCCCCCATCTATAATAGTAGATGGAAAAGAATATTTTATTAGTGTTTTAAACTACAGTTAGTTGTTGCTATTAAGGCTAATTGTTCTTACATGTTTGTTTTGTCAAAAAATTCCCATTTCTCCCCATGTTACTGATCACAGCAATAAAGTGGTGGAGCGATTCCGTTCCCTGCGCATTTCTCCTTACTTGGGTGTCAGCGCAGCCTTTCTGCAAGAGGCCTCGGTCCCACCTGGATGACCTCCCTGAGATCCCGGTTCTTAGGAGAAGGCTCCTCTGCTCCGCCTCCTTCCAGCCCAATGGGAGTGGAACACACACTTTCTCCAGTGACGTCCGTGTCGTCACTCCGGCCTGCGGGGTGGCTCCTGGCTGCCCTGGAATCCATCATGAGTGAGGGCACAGACCACAACAATCTTTGTAACTGAACAAACGTACCAAGGTCTTTGAGACGCGATCCCACTCCCCATGCCCTGCTGCACCCTTTTTCTCCCTCTGTAAATGTCCCTTCTGCTCAGATAGACTGAAATGTACAGGTATGTTGTGAACATGTGATCCAAACAAAACATCCTAAAGCCCCTTCTACAGTTTACTAAATTTAAAAACTGGATTTACTTAATAAATTTGGCTCCCTCACTTGCATTACATCTGAAATACATCTGAGTGCCCAGGGTGACTCCTTGACTCCGGGGTCAAAGTATCCGGAGCACAGCACCAGTGCCTCCCGCCGCCTGAGTCGCTGGGGAGACTGTAAGAGCTGCTTTCTGCTTTCTCAGAGAAATTACCCAGGTCAGGGAGGCCGAACGGAGAGGAAGCGTTCACTCACACGAAATCTAAAGTGGAACAAAAGGAACATTAAAATGACCTTAATGTAAATAAAGCTCAATTGTTTTTTAATATAAAAATTGCAAAACACCATGCAAAGTAATTTTGATTATTTTATAGTCACGCATCCCTTCTGTTCCGTAAACTGAAAACAAGGTCAGTTTTAAGTTACAACTCAAATGTTTTACCCTGAAATGCTCATTTAAAAATTCTACAGAATAAAAGATAAACATTGTACTTTCCATACAAGAATTACTGAGACTGTACATGTCTGTATTACACTGAAAGGTGGTACAGTTTGACCCATGGGAATTCACAGATTGTTACCATGTGTAGCTAATTTTTCTGGTGTCCCAAGTTATCCCAAAATAACCATTTCCAAGGTGGACTTGCCAATCATCACGTAAACATAAAGGCAAAAAATTCATCAGGTGTCTTTAAAATTTTTCTGGCAAATAAGCTAAACAGTGGGATACAAGTTCTTTTTATCCACAAGAAATGGGGTTTTTTTAAAAAGAAAAACAAATTACCATTCTGTGAATTTTAAAAACTGCTTATTTATAATATTTCCTATAAACATTTTTTCATTAAGAAATGAAAAACTTTCTTTTCCTGATGCTATAAACATTATACAAATAATGTGGTTATAAAACTTTTTATGATTAAAATGACACAGTAATAGTCTCATAACTCTTTCATTAATAAAATCCAATTACTCTCCTACTTTACATCCTGTTTCTATTTCTTTGCAGTGACTACTAAAAAGTGACTAGGTAACTAACTATAGCACCTGCTTTGAAAGCCTACTACTTAAAAAATAGAGATATAACAAAAATTATAAGAGAAAACAGGTATATTTTAACACATCTAAAAAATTGAGCTATGTTGCTAATATAATATGTTATATTAGCACTGATATTCTCATGTGATGTTTTCTTTAGTTTCTTAAATTATGTCAGTAACCCAATTTCTACTCATTTATTGTAAAAATTAGGGTAAACTTTTCAAGTAGCTTTCCGTAGATTCTTTTCTTATAATTTTATAAAAATGAAAATCCATTTATTGTCAATATCTCAAGCTAATTTGACATTTTATTCTGCAGAATTGTCAAATTTACACTTCACAGGTTTCAATAGTCACTGACTACAGTGCCTACTAATTCACTTTCTAGTTCTTTTTCCCCTACTTTTTACTTTCCCTGAATCTCTAACATTCCTCTCTCCTATTCATCACCATTTTTTTAATTGCCTTAAAAAAAAAGTAAAACTACAGGACTTTGCACCTCATAAAGAGGACATTAAACTTCCTGTGAGAAATGACTTACAGACTGTCAGTGAAGGGGACAGAAGCTCGTGAGTAATGCTTTGCATTCTCGCTGCCTCCTCACTTTTCTGCCTAGTATGTTTTGTTTCTTTATAACTACCGGACATATGTTCATACTTAGAAAACTTCTATGTGGGACCCAAAAAGACAGACTCTTCTCTCAAAGGAAAAAGCTAAGGATCCAGGAAGAAGAATGTGTAACAGTATTTTATTTTTTAAAAATCCACAACAAAAATGAAATTTGGGGGCTGGGGATGTAGCTCAGTGGTGCCATGCCAGCCTGGCAAGCGTTAAGGTCCCAAGTTCAATCCCCAGTAAAGGCATTACTAAAATTTTACGCATTCAGGATCTATTTCTCTAATTCTGGCAAAATACATAAAATCATAAAAATTTACTGCTTTAAAGCACACAGTGGGATTTAATGCATTCACAGTGTACAACTATCCCCTCTATCTACTTTCAGTATATTTTCATCACCCCACCAAGAAATGGCTCATGGATTAAGCAGTCCCTCCTCCTTATTCTGCTTCTTCCCCCTAGCTCCTGGCATCACCAATCCACCTGTCTCTATGAATTTCCATATTCTACATATTCCATCTAAACAGTATCTTAGAACATGTGGCATCTGGGCCTTTCACTTGGCTGATTGTTTAAGTCACCCGTGTTGTAGCATCTTGTAGTACATTTCTCCTTTTTAGGAGTGCGTAACAGTTTCTTTTACAGATATACATTTCATTCACTCATCTTCTAATGGATTTGGGTTGTTTCCACTTTTTGACTAATGTGAACGATGCTGCTCTATTTGTTTGCAAGTTGTTTTTTGTGTATGTTTGTGTTTTACAGGCCTTAGGTTTGAAATGAGGGTCCTACCCATGCTGGGCAAGCGCTCTACTATACTGAGCTACATCCCCCGCTTTGTTATTTTTTATTTTGAGACAGAGTCATAAAGCTACCTGTGGTGGCCTTGAGTCTGTGAGTCTCATACTTCAACTTCCTGAGGAGTTAGGATGTTATGATAAAATGAGTAGAATCAGCAGTCCGTGACCCTGCCTACAGGAGCCTTAACCAAACAGTGGCACTGTATAGAGATGGAGAACAGCATTCTATAGGGTGCCTAAAAGAGTACTCATGCTTGTTTCCTCAGTAGAAACTGCTTTATCACACCTTCCATTAAGCATATGCTCTCCCTCTACCCCCTTGCTTCAAGGCTGTTTCTCAGTATGGCACTGAAGTCCACCTGCATGCAAGGATTGCTGAAAGCGACTGTTTGCCTAGGGCCCTGCAGTCTTCCCTCAGACAGAACCTGCAGCTTTCTGTAAAATTCCCATACACAAAAATACGACTTAGTATACAATTCCCCAAAAATGTTTAAATCGATTATCTATTTACATTAATGATAGACAAAGGCTGCTCAAAGGCCCCAAAACATTGCCAATGAATAAACAACGTGGAAGAATGTCACTTCACAGCTGCTTCTGCCAAGTTGCCGCCGTCATTGGTCATCTCCCCAGAGCCAAAGCAGCAGTCTGTCGAATTGTTGGGACCACGTTGAGAAGAGCAGGGCTCAGCAAAGATATTACACCCGAGTTAAGTTTTGAAAAACAGAAATTGGCAAATTTTTAAATTAAAAAGAAAGCAATTCAGTGTATATATGCAGACAAGAAAACTAAGGATAAAAATCAGTAAACACAAAAAATAGCCACTAAAACTGAATGGATCGAGACGCAAAATCATACAAGCTATGATTATCAAAAAAGCAACACAGCATGAAAACAAAAACCTCTGGAGTTGGAGAAGTTTGAATCACTAATTCAGCAACTAAATAGCTATGTGGCCTGACAGGGTTATAAGGAGGACCAGACAGAAAAAATATAGAGAGTTTATGGTAAAATGCCTAGCCTCTAGCCAGTAGAAAAGGGGGCAGGTAGGTTTTCCCACCAGCCTTTGCAAAGCCTGTCTTTAAAGCTCTGTTCTGGTCTCTCTTCTCAATGAAGTCTACCATTTGATCTTCTCTCCTTCTAAATGAACTTAAAATTTATTCCAGAAATCTTATCAAGATCTATCTCAGAGCCAAGGGAGCTAGGAAGGCCATTTGGCTAGTTACCCACACTCATAAGAAGGCTACATGAAGATTATTGCCAAATAAATTTCTTGAGGTTAAGAAGGTATGTATAATGTATCACTAGATCGCATGCATAATATTCATCCTAGGATTGAATATATGAGATATATCACAACAATAGTAAAAGTAATATATTTACAAAGCCTACAAGCTCAAACCTGACTAGGGGATGACAAGGATGAAAAAGAGACACAGAAACAGGTTAAAATCTGGGGGTCAGGGCCTCACTTGACATAGAGCCCCAAGTGATTGGTGCACCTCAAGTTTATTCAAAAGCAATTAAGAGTTCCACAGGATTCATCTGTTTTCTCCATGTTACTTCTCCGGGTAAACAACTTACCCTCAGGTGTTAGCACACTTGCACGCCCTCTTTCTCCTAAGTGCTCACCGAGAAGGCCCATTAGGCTTCAGTCTTCCCACCTGGTCTCCCATAATTTATCATATGCAAGCACTGTTTAAAGACTTCCTGTATTAATTCACTTGTCTTCTCTATTAATTCACCAATCTATGAAGTATGCATTGTCTACTTTAGAGATGAATAAACTAAGTCAGAAAGGGTAAGTAAATTGTCACACAAATAGTAAATGGTAAAACAAGCTTAGAATTCAGACAATCTATTGATAATCTTTAAATAATACGCAGTCAAAATTGAGGGGGTGGAAAAGGGTATCAAAAATACTTAATTTTGTTTATTTTACTGTATATTTTAACTATTGACTTTGATTACTATAAAGTTTGTAAAATGGTCAACTATTTCTGCTTTACTGATGCTGTGTAGAGTCTAAGGTTACAAGAAATTATGACAATTCAAATGGGAACAAAGTGGCCCTCGACTTTCTAAACTTAATCTATACAAGTTTTATTAAAAACTCATTATTTGTAAAGAAAAAACAACCATTGTCTTTAAAAACATGGTGATACATAAAAATAAATATTACCAATATTCTTTTATCATGTTATAGCCAGGAACATTTAAAATGGAATTAAAATTTACAATAACACCTAAGATTAGACCAAAATGAGATAAACAGTGCCACCAAATAACATAAAGGAAACAATGTTTATCTTACTTAATATGACTTGTGTTCTTCAGAGTTCTTAGTCTCATTTAGTTGTCATTTTTTATGATTTAGGAGGGTAGATTAGATAGTCTCTATAAGGCCACAGTTGCCAAGTGTGAAGTCCCTTCAAGCTAGTGAGCTATGGGTGGGACAGGGCTCCTGCTCCCTCTGGGATCATAGCTCACGTGAGATTAAACCAATGTTGTAGATGTTTCTATTATGTATTTGTATTTTTCACTGATAACTTTTGAAATCTCACAACAAAAAGTGTAAAACATAGAATAAAGTACTAGGATAACCACCAAATGTTGACACAGGAAGCCAAGCACGGTAGCATAGTCCCGTAGTCCCAGCAGTATGGGAGGCTGAGGCAAGAGGGCTGCAAGTTTGAGCCCAGTCTGGGCAATTTATCCATTCAGCCAGACCCTATCTCAAAATAAAAAATAAAAAGGGCTGAGATTTAGCTCAGTGAAAAGGGCTCCTGGGTTCAATCCCCACTTCCAGAAAAAAAAAATTATTGGTCTCTTTGTAGTAGCTTTATTACTTTATTATTGTCGTTTTACTATGGTAAATATTAAAAACTGCCACTTTAACATGTTTTAATTCAGTGGCATTAGGAAAATTCACATTGTTGTGTAACCATCATTGAGAACTACCAAAACATTTTCTACAATGGCTGTATGATTTTTAGACCAGCAATATACAAAGGATCCAGTTTTTCTACACGCTAAACTGCTGCTTTCATTTTTAAACATAGCCATCCTCATGGATATGAAGCGGCATCTCATTGTGGTTTTGATTTTCATTTCCCTGATGCTGAGCATCTCTTCCTGTGTATATTAGACATTCAAAGACCTTCCTGGGAGAAATGTCTAACTCCGTTTTTCAACTGAGTTGTTGTGCTGTCATTGTCGCTGAGTATTGTGATTTTTTTTTAAAATATATGCACCATTTTAATTGAGGTCAATATTCTAAAGATAAAAGCTAAATTTAAGATAAAGTTTAATAAATGTACTCGAGACCAGAAATACAAAATATTTTTAGAATAATTTTTTTTAATCATAATTATACCTCATTTTTTCTGGTATTGCTTTTAACCCTCATTTGATATACTTATGTGAAGGCAACTGTTTATTGTTTTTTGAAATACAGTATAACTGGGAAATCAATCTTTACTGGGTTATTCCTAGTGGATTATACATTTTCAATTAAACCCCAAAACTTTAAACTGTTAACAATTTGAAGAGTCGACTATACGCGGTTATAATTATTTAACTGTTTGTTGCCTATAATATTTAGCTGATCTATAATGTATCTCCCAATTTTAGGAAATTTTAGTTTATAATTTGGAAGCAGAGTATTTTACCCTCCAAAACGGCATTTCATTAGTCCATATGTTCACAGGAATTTTCTTTTTTATATACTTTCTCCATTTTTCTATTGCATCTGGCTCATACAAAGCCAGTGAAATGACTCCTAGTTCCTGTCTTTCTACTCCTAGAACCAGTACTAAAGTTGGGCTTCCGTGTCAATGCTTCTGTTCTATCACAATTACCTTATTTTCCTTAATTCACACAGTAGCACATGAAAGTTTTGAAAATTTAAAAAGCTCCAAAGTTACAATGAACAAAATTAAGTGTTGGTCTGAAACACCTTTGTTGGAATAATCTTATTCAATGAATGTGTTTTAATAAGGGTCTTTAACTGAAGAAAATTCTCAAAAATATTGCCCCAAATGTCTAGTTCTTGAATTGCTTCTTAGTACTTCATAATTATCAGTCCCCAGGTGTTTCTCTATCTCTAAAAGGATATGTTCTTACCACTTACACAGATTAGGCATGGAGACTGTTACTCTAATTGTAGGTTTGTCCGAAAAATAGAGACATGTGTGCAAGAAGAACTGCGTTAAAAAACAATGGAAGGGGGGCAGGAGATTTAGCTCAGTGGTGCTGTGCCTGCCTCACAAGTGCAAGGTCCTGTGTTCAATCCTTGGTACCAAAAATAAAATAAAAAGATGGAAGGAAGGCGGGAAAAAGAGAAAAAGGGAGAAAGAGAAAACACCATACGTAACATATAAAAAGAAATTTCAGGGACTAGGGATGTAACACAATGGGGTCTACCCAGTTTGCTCAAGGCCTTGAGTTCAATCTCCAGCACTGAAGGGGAGAAAAAAATTTTTTTTCCCTACCTGCCTGTCCATTAGGAATCCGCAGTCCAAAGTGAGCGAGTGCATGAAATTTAGAGTCCATAAATACCAGCAGTATCTAGTTAAACAAGCCCTCTAGTGAGAAGCTAATATCACCAGGGTCTCCACCAAAGGCCCCAATATGGACTATCTACCTGTAAATTCAGGACTAGCAGAGTGGCTCAGGAAGAGCATTTACCTCCCATGTGCAAGGGACCTGGGTTCAATCATCACCAAACCCATCAACAAATAATTCACATAACGTACTCAACATCTATATTGTCTGCTCTATAAAAACAATATGTGAAAATATGATATCACTGCTAATTTTTTGTTTCAACAGCCTTTAGAACAGCAGGTTTCTGTCAGAGAATCATGGTACTTACTAAGGTATATTTTAAGTACATTATGAAGGCCAATAGGAGCTTTTCCTTCCTGTGGAATACTGAGGTACTAAATAACCTGAAGATCTTCACCCTGCTCCAGACACAAGTAATTAAAAATCATATACCGTATATTATTTTCTTAAATCTTGAAGCCATTTAATTGCCTCTTAGCAAAACAGCTTCATACAGATGCATATTTAAGTGTTATGTAAACTTTATTCTTCACTCTTCTGAATATGTACATAAGTACTAACTTACCATATTTGTACTATAGGTTATTTGTAATATATAGAAGTTTACTCTCAGCTAAACAGCTGGTTCAGACGTTTATGTAGCTAAACAGTTTAAAAATAATTTTCTTGGCACTTTTATTAGCCTACATCAGCAGACCTCCTAACAGACTTAAGAGTGGCCTGGTATTCCACTATGCCACAAAACATGTTTCTTTTATTTTATAACCAACTGCCTCCAACTGCTGACATTTTATAATTGGTAAAAGTAACGATGTATTATCTTTACTATTACAGTCATGTGTTGTTGATTATTCAGAGAGGAAGTACCAAAATTCATTTTTAAATAGCTGCAAGATGTAATGTTTCAAACAGGGTTTAAGGGTAAATAGATTTTATAACACATTAAACTTTTTAATGTTCTCATATGTGTTCTTGTTTTGCATATGTGTTCTATTTAGGAATAAACCTCAATGAGAAAAGAATCTCAAGGTTGTAGACACAGTACACAGTTCTCTGTTATTACAATTTTGATCAGAAATCAAATTTATTCTTTTCCAAACACTCTGAAGAGATCTTGCTATACTTTACTCTGGATACATTAAGTAAGCCAACTTCTCTCAGTACCTCAAGAATTCAACGAGAAACATGAGATTTAAAGTGAAATAAAAGTCCATTGATAATCTTTGCCTTTAATATCTTTCATATACAATGATTTAAAATTCTTAGAGAATTACTGTTTGATCAGGATGCCTATATGGAAAATATTTTTCACATTACCCTGTATCCTTCATACTACATGCTTACTGTGTACTGAGAGGAAAGAAAATCGTCCCAGATACATAAAACAATACGTTGAAGTCAGAATAAAATGCACAAAGTCACTACCAAAAGGAAGGTAACTCATTGGAAAAAAAGTGATTGTACTATATAACTGATACACACAAGTAGTGACTCATTTAAAAGCATTTTAAAATGTGTGATGGTTTTTAAGAGTAATTCAAATAGTTGAGTTTATTTACTAAAGATTTCATAACAATGCTTATAGGTAATTATTTAAAGAATAAATATATTGGGGTATGCATGATCAGTCTCTAAAGCAACTACAGGGATTCTTAAATTACTTGATACAAAATATGTTCAAAATAAATTCCTTGGGAAAAAAGTCTTCTTAGTATGTCATCAGGAAAAGTTATAATTTCAAAACACTGATATATAGTCTCTGTACTACATTTCTTCATGAGGCAAGCCATAAGTGCAGGTCATCTGAACTACTTATTCTTTGGTGATCATTGAGCCTACAGCTGGATTAAATGCCATATAATGTAAGTAGAGTGCAGTGGGTCTTATTAAATCCCAGCTATTCGGGAGAATGAGGCAAGGGGATCTGTTGAGCCCAAGAAGGCCAAGCTGGGAAACACACCAAGACCCTATTTGAAGGGAGGGACAGAGGAAGGTGGGGACAGTCTGAGAGAGGGAGGGAGTTCCATAATATATTCTATATTGTATTAAAAAATGATACTCTGTATCTTTTTATGTGTATTTCAATATCAGTGAATTTCTAAAACAACATTCTCCCATTTAAAAAAATGATTTAGTTTGCATATAGTCCAGAAAGTAAATCTTTGTACACAAGTGCCGATTCACAACAGACACTGAGCAGAAATTGAGAGGGGGAAAAAAAAAAACTTTAGAAAATGTAAAATGCCCTGAATTAGTCTGTGTATGAAACATCTTGTGTGAAGTACTTCCATATGAAACAAGTACAGAAGACTGTCAACTCCAAAATAACATTTCTTAGCAGTGGGTAATTTCTGATGGCTCAAGTAGTGATCGCCCACGGTAAGGGACAGCAGGGGGTGAGTGTGGCTACAAAGGGCCACACAAGAGATCCTTACAATGATGAAAGCTATGGTGGCGATACATGTACACAAGAAAAATGTGAATAGAATAAAACATTAACACAAATGCAACCGGAAGAACCTAAGACAGTTTTTAATCCTGGTTCTCACACAATACTGCAGTTTTGTAAGAGATTGTCATTCCTGGAAAGTCTGTATTCCTTGCAAGTTCTTGTGAACCTAAATGATCTTAAATTGAAGATAAAAAACCCTCAACTTTCTCCATGTTGAATACATCACCGCCCCCCAAAAAGTAGAGAAGAAAAAAACAACACTCAAGGAATAAACACCAAGATCTCCGTGACAAGAAATCACCCGCAGTAGAAAGTCCCCTCCAAGAAATCCAAACTAAACATCAGGTCTATATATTCTTCCTCGGTCAACACGTTCCCTATTTTTAAGGTGTTATACTAATTTTAATGATCCTGCCCTACACACTGAAGACTTTTGATGTAGTAATGACAAACTGCTACCTTACCATTCAGATGGTGGTGGAATTTTTAATAATTAAGAAAAAAACTGTAGGGAGAGAAAAGGGGTGAGGGAAAGTGGGAGGAGGAGGAGAGACTGAGTTCGGCCTGAGGGGTAGGATGAAGACACCCTAAAGCCTGCACTGAGGCAGGTTTTCATTTTTACCTACTTCGAATCTCTTGGAAAAGATTCAAGCCTACCACGTCCCTTGCACTGTTCCAAGACAAGGTGGTGAAAGGCGGTGAGGAGCGTCAGCGCCGGGCCGGACGGGACCGCGGGCGGGAGGTGGCCGCTCAGG